CACCTTCCACCTGGACCAACTGAGGCTCAGTGGGTGAGAAGCGAAGCAGGAGACTTGTTGGGGTCCTGGCAGCAGGCAACAGCTTCCCCACTTCACCTGCGGTAAGCCAGAGGCTCTGAACTCAGATCCCATAAACCCCAACATTCGGCCAGACACCAGGCAAGGCATGTGAGTCCTCCTGTGCTTTCAGTACCTCTGAGGACCTTGCTGGACACCGGCCGCCTGGGCTGGGCAGCAGAGCCCAAAGGAGAAGCAGCCCAGCCCTGCACGCAGGGCACAGAAGAACCTGGGCTTGGCTGCCATCCCCACCTGTGGGCACCCCACCCAGGCTGCAACTGGGCTGAACATCAGCCCATAGGTGCTGCGTTGCAAGCTGTCAAGAATTGGAGAGGGGCACAACAGGCATGTCCAGGACAGCTCTGGGATGCAGTGTCACTTAGCTGAGACCCAGCGTGCAGCCGACAGAGCTGGGATCTACGGACCAGCTTAACCAGCGCAAAGGTGCCCAGTGCCCAGTGCTGGAGGACTGGAAAGCTTAACATGACTAGGGCACTGTGACAGATAAGGCCGGTGGTCTGGTTGAGACACAGAAAACGGGCCAGAGCACCTGGCCCATAGGTTTAAATTTTTCTTTTTGAAGAGCAGTAAAGGGCAAAAGAGTGACCCTAATTGACACAAGGCTGCTGTACGTGGCAAAGATAGAGTGTGAGGCCTGGTGTGGTGGGTAGAGCACTAGGGCACAACCCTGAGGCTGCTAGGATGCTGGAGGGGCGGGGTTCCTGGGATTCCCGCCCAAGCAAAAGGCGGGTGTTGAGGAGAGCACAGAGCATAGGGCCGGTGGGCAGTGGACGGGGTGGGAAGGGCTCCCGGCAGCTGCACAGCAGAGCACTGTGGAGCTCCTCTCCAAGGGTGAGCACAACACTCAGTCTGCACCGGCCTGGGCCCCAAGGAAGTCCTCCTGCAAGACAGGTCAGACCTGCGGCTGCTGCTGGCTCCCACGCAGAGAAAGGCGCATTCCAGAATGATCTGGGGGGGGGGGCACTACGCCCTCTTACTGTTCTGCAGGCCATGCCAGGGCAGAGCGGGAGGCACCAGAACCCTGAGAGGCCAGCTGGACCTGGGACCCTCCCATACCTGCCAGCTGCTCTGGCACCTGCAGCCCTCGTATGGGCCTCAAGGGACAGCCTGTGGCTCATCCCTGTGGCACTAGTTACTCCACATGCCCAGCAAGCCTGGCCCGCATGTGTGCCCAAGAGGCAGCAGCCAGCTTCCTTCTTGCAGTGGACCCAGGTGTCACAGAGTGGCTCATGGGACCTGTCCAGAGCCCCAGGGGAGGTGTACGCCTGCTCTCGAAAGCCCCAGGACCAGGCCAGGCCTCGAAGGCCAGGCCCTTACCATTGCAGGCGGCAGTTGCTGGCCCAATGCCAAAACCAGGGAGGTCCCAGCGTGCAGCAAGTGAAGGCCAGAGGTGGGAAAGGTTGTTTCTGTCCACCGGAGTCTGCTGTGGCGACCGAGGAGTCTGCTGGCAGCAGGTGCCGCCAGCCAAAGAGCGATCAGCCCCCAGGCCGCTCCCAAGCCCTGGCTTGCGCTGCTAACCGAGAAGCCCTGCAGGAGTCGGAGCAGGACAGACTGGGAGTGTTTTATGGCGGTCAGCTCATCTTTATCCTTGTGTTAGCGTGCAGATCAGAAAGTCCTATGACCCTGCAGTCAGACGGACGTGTGCTCAGACTCTGCCTGCCAAGACTGCAGCAAGCTCTCAGATTTTCTGAAGCCTCAGTTTATTCTTCTGTGGAATGGGGATAAAATCAGCACACACTCCACAGGGCCTTGTGAGGATTAAACAAGACCACAAGACAAAGGCGCTTGCCCCAGCTAAACAAACTGTCACTGCCGTTAGTCTTGATGCCAGAAGCCTCTCCTTGGGCTTTTAATCAGCATGCAGCAGTGATGAAAAATCAGCACGCCGGCCACGTGGCCCACACGGGAAGCCCCTCCGAGACACAGAGCTGCGCGGGAGCACTCGGCTAAGCAGTGTGGTTCCTCCTCCGTTCAGCTCCACCCTGTGAACACTGTGCACAGCTCCCAGCTGCTGTGCCAGGGCAGCAACACCACCCTGCATAGCCCTCTGGAAACGGGCCCACGGTGTCTATCGCTCCAAGGTTTCCAGCGCCACTTCCTGCAGCGCCGCCTGACTCCTATTCCCACTCACGCAGAAGCACCCTACCTGTGAGGTTAGAGTGGCACAGGATCCTGCTGGGGTTGATAGGAAAAGACAACGTGGCACTGCCAGGATCCTGGGTATGCCACTGAGAACAGACCCAGCACATGGCAGGCAGAGGCAAGAGGTGTGAGCCCCAGGGTCCAGCCACACCTGGAGACAGAAGACTAAGTGAGCGGGGGAAGCTCCTCCACATCTGAACTAGAGGGTGTTTTCCATAATGGTAGCTGAAATGACCCTGATTGCTACAGTGCCTCCAGTCCCTGTACTAAGCGGGAGATCGCTACCCAGTAGATGACCGGAGCCTGCCCTGGTGGTGGAACAGCAAGTGTGTGCCGCAGGTCAGGGACAGGCCTGACAGGGGCCGTCCACCAAAACACGTGAGCGTCCCCACGGGCTAGGCCGGGTGCATGTGGCTCTCCACGCATGGGCTGGGGCTTCTGCACATGTGTTGGACACACAGGCTCCAGCCACATAGGAAATACTCGGTCACACTGAGCTCTTCTGGCTCCTCTGGCTCCTCGAGGGGGCCCTTGGCTAAGCTCCTGGGACCTTCTGGGAACTCTGAGAAGCCAAATCTGCATTCCAGGATATCCTGGGGCCCCAGGCCGAGGACGACAGCCCCTGAGCAGACACACCAGTTGTCTGCTCCTCAGGTTATCTCAGCCTCTGCCACCCACTCAGACTCGGGAGCCCTGTGGGGTCAGGGGCCAGGCAGGGCCAGGCCAGACTCCCCCCACCACTGGCCGATTGGCCACAGGGAAGTCACTCGGCCTCTCTGAGCCTTCGAGCAGAGTCCATACACCAGAGACCAGGCTCCCCCACAGCGTCTGTGGGTCCAGAGAAGCCGTGTGCAGCCCCAGCGCCTGGGCCAGAGGGCCGTCACAGCCGCACGGGAGACCTAAAGGGCTGAGGAACTAAGTGGCATCATGTCAGCACAAACGCAATTTTTTTTCTAGAAAACCAGAAAAAAATGAAGGACTAATGATGGTGACCTTCTGCCTCAAGGCCATTATCCATCAAGGCCACTCAGGCAGGCCCCAGGGTTCCTTCCAGCCCTGCTGTTACCTCTGCCCGTGGATGTCTGACCCCATGACACATTGACATGCCTACCCCGCCTCCACGGGCTCGTGCCTGGTTCCTCTGCACACTCCTCTCTCCATCCAACTGCTGACCTGCACTTTGCCAGCCAGCTACCTCACTGAGACCCCACTCATAGGGCCCCAGGAGCACACCCCCAGCGCAGGCCACCCTCAGGCCCCAGTTCCCTGCCCCGTGGGCCCTGGGTCTGCCATGCTGCTGACCAGGACCAAGACACAAGGAGGAACACACTGACAGATGAGTAGATGGGTGGATGTAGCAGCAGCACAGCCCCTCCCGACGCCCTATCCCATGGCACCCGTGCACACTGCCCCTCTCCTCTCCCCAAGTCCCTGGCAAGGGTCTCCTACACTTTTAGGAAATCTACCTGCAGCACCAAATGGGACACACTGCAGGCCCAGGCACCCTGGGAGCTGGCAGGGGACACAGACAGCTGTCCCATGTCCACGTGGCTCTCCAAGGACAACCGCAGTCACGTGTCTGCAGCACTCCCAGGTACCAACTAAACTCAACCACAGGCAGCAATTTTCTGAAGCAACAAGTGAAGTTTCCTGTGTGTCCATAAAAAGAACACCAGCGGTTATGGGCCTGGGTGTAATTGCAGGCTCTGAAGCCAGCAGGAGGAGTGGGACAGCCCGAGGACTGGCAGGTTCAGGGGCCAGCAGGGCTGGAACAGGAGCAGGAGCACCTGGGCAGCAATTAGAGCAGAGTCCACAGTGGGCAGCTTCTGATGCCTGGCCAGCAGGGGCAGCCTGACCACCACACACCCCATCCAAAATAGCAAACTGCAGTGGCTTCTGCTGTGTGCCAGGCCCCAGCTGCCGAACAGTACCATCCCCCCAGTACCAGCCTCCTCCCTGTGCACTGACCCAGGGACCCTCCAAGACTTCCTTGCCCCAAGCCAGGGTCCCACTGGGCCCCGGAAGCAGGTGCATGTCCCAGGGCTTGTCATACTGGGCAGCCCACACTCCCAAAGAGGATCCTGCCCCCTAGAAGATCAAGCCATCCACAGGCACCAGACACTCCCCTTGGCTCCAAATAGAGAAAACTGACTTTTCAAACAACCAGCTGGAGTTCAGTAGGAAACCACAGTGCAAAATCATGGGCTCTCGACCAGCCAGGGCCACGGGGTAACTGGACATTTCAGCACCACCGTCTGCCCAGAGCTGGTAGCCCTGGCACACACAGAAGCAAGAAGACCCACTGCCAGCACACATGCCCACACACATATCCACAAGCTGAAGGGCACGGGCACTAGGACACACACAGGAACAGAAACTCTCAGACACACCCACGCCAGAGAGGACAGCATGCTCACAGGTTCCTGCGGGTGCACAGGCACCGGACGCAAGCACACACCAACACCCAAAACTCCTGCAATGTACACCCCCACTGAGGCTCACACGCACCAACTTATACACGTCGGCAGGTGGAGATTTGCACAGGGGTTAAAAGGAACTGCTCTGGAACTACCGCACACCCCAATCCGCTACATCGCCTCCTGGGAAAGGTCGGAAGCAGCTTGCCTTCCGGCTAACCTCGGCCTGTGCAGTGTGGGCAGCTCCCTAGACACAGGAAAGCAGGAAAGGCTGGTTCTCAGCCCAGGTCTGTCCCCGGATCCCGGTCACGGGAAGGGTCTGCAGAGGCCAGAGGAACAAGGAGAGAAGAAAGTAGCGCTCACCAGCCCATCGCAGTTGCTGAGCGCCACGGAGGAGGATTTAGCCAAACCGGCCACGTCCCCGACGTAGAGGCAGGTCCCAAGCAGGGGCTCCACGCGGGTGGCACCCGCCTCGCCCTGCCATTCCACAGTGGCACCGGGAGCCACAAGGCGGCCATTGGGTCGCAGCCGCAGGTGCAGGTCTCGTCCGAAAACCGTGACGTTGTAGTAGAGGCGGCCGCTGGGGTCCTCCTCGCTGCCCCCGGGGAAGCCAGAGGTCGGGGCCGGGACAGCCCTACGGGCTCGCACCCCCACCGCGACCGCCGCCGCCGACACCACGTGGGACACCAGGCGGCCCTGGGCGTCAGTGCGCACCGGCACCGCCAGGATGCGCTCGGCTCCGAGCCCCGGGGGCCCGCCTGCAACGGAAAGGGGCGTCAGACTGGTAGACTTCGGAGCCCGCACCCCAGCCTCCCTCCGAGGGGATAGGAAGGGGCCACCTCCGCCCAGCCGGCCCCTCGAGGACCGCGCGGCCAAAGGCTTGCGCCGCTGCCCCACTCTGGCTGGGGCCCCGCGGGCACCTGGAAGCCCCACGGGACGATCCAGGGGGAGCGCCCCGGCCCTCACACTCACTGCCCTCGGCCGGACGCGGGCTGCGCGGCAGTCGCTCTCGGTAGCTCCCTACCGTGCGCCTTGACCCCGAGGCGGCCCCTGCCCAAGTGCCCGGCGTGGCCTGAGGCCGCTGGGACGTGGCTCCCCGTGCACGGGCGGCCTATCCTCCGTGTCCACCGGGTCCGCCCGCTGCCGTCCCCTCTCCTCGCTCGCCGAGGACAGGCACGGGTAGGGCAGGGTCCCACCGATCTCCGGGGATTCCCTCCGGGGTGCCCCGACCAATCCCGAGGGCCCGGGCGGCGCGCTCTGCACAGCTCCTCCCGAGAGTCCCCGGACGCGAGCACGGGCGCCGCCTTGCCGGCTCCCCGACCCGCTGGGGCGAGCCCTGTTCCCCGCCGCGGGCTTCGCCGGCCCAGGCTCCACGCCCAGCGGCTCCCGCGCCGCGAGCGCCCGGGT